AACCACAACTTTTGAATGCAAATAAAGTTAAAAGGCAAATGTATTTTCTCCTTCAGTACCATCCTTCTTCACTTCCTTGGCATATTATACTTTCTCAGATGTTTATACAGTTATTGTTTCATTAGCAATAGGCAATGCAGCTGGCAGGCATGCAAGCAGAGTTATAGAAAAGAGAGCTTTATTAAGTATGATGAGTGGCCAGTGTTATGTAATGAAGCTCTGGAGTTCTATGTGCAATCAGCCTGGGCCTGACTTGGATCCATGAACACCTGATGTCATGCCAGACTAAGTCCTCCTGAAGCCTGACCTCTTTTTCCTGTTCCACTTATCATATCGTCATCAGTAGAAAGATGGGACAGGCATCAAAATATTATCTCATTACAATAGCTACAGAACATCTTAAAACATGTTTGGAATCATTGAATGCAGTGTGGATTACACTGATTTATTAGTTTTCAACACTGAGCAACTTAACTTTTCAACTTATGTACAAGTGAACTACACCACTGGTTATGGTTTCTTTTGAATTAGAAAAGACAACACAATCCCATTGGATAGTATATAAAATTGTTTGACTGTGAAAACTGTCTTAGATAATACTAAATGAGCTCAAACTTAAAAATTGTGCTTGCTGATACTGACTTCTATAAATAAATGGAAAAATTCAAGCAATTGTTAATAAATAACAATAATGTTAAACACAGTCAATCTCTATGCAGGCTTTTGTTTATTATCCTATAATCTTTATTTTGACCACTTTGGATCCATATGTTAGTTGAAGACTGCAGTTTTGTTCATCTTTATCTTAACTTGCAAGGACATATGATATGATTTTTCTAAGAACATTTAAAATCCATGTTTATATGTACTCCTTCCATACCAAATATTAAGCAGAGAGAGGCTTAACCCAAAACCCTGTATCTAAACACCAGATTTGGCTAGGAGTTTGCAGCTCAAATCCTTCTCTAAAATGGACAGAATCTGAACACTAAATCTGCACATTCCAAAACTAGGGGAAATTTTAATTCAGATTTCAAATCCAAAAATTCAGATTTGCATCTGGGATTGTGTGTAGTTAATTATGGAGATAGAGTTTAGATCCAAGGTTTTGCTTCAGACCAATCTGTACAATTAAGTACATCTGGAAACATGTTCCACTAGGTTGGTACGATATACACGTTACCGCTTGATATTCCATTGAAAATCTGCTGCGGACATATGCACAGTGTCCAGCAGCATTTGATACAGTTAACTCAAACAAAAGTAATAGAAAGGCATTAGTTCTGATATTTGTTTTCAAAATATTAATTTAGGGAAATCTTCTGACTTGAACAGAACATATATTAATGTTTCATGGTGTTAGGTTAACCATAGCTTATGATCCTTTTCAATCAATTTGAACAACTATCCATCATAGATTCTTTTATAAAAGAAATTTTAAAGGTTTGTCAGAAAAAAAAAAGTTAAGAAAAGAAATATATGGGACAGGGTTTTCCATTAGAGAAAACATCACAGAAAAATAGGATTTAAGATACACCAGATTTGCCAGCACACTGAAGATGTTGTCATTTTCTGGCAGACACTGAGTTTCAGTAATAGTAATAAATAAGTAATAATATCTAGTTTTTTATCAGTGAGCTCAAAGTAAAGATGGTATCATTATCCCCATTTCATAGATGGGGAAACAGAGGCACAGAGCAAGAGGTGAAGTGACTTGCCCAAGGTCACCCTGAAGGCCAATGGCAGAGCTAAGAATAGAAACCAGATCTGCTGAGTTCAAGTTCAGAGACCTACCACTAGACTATACTGTCTATAGGTATTTGATCATTTGCATATACATAAATGGGTGTCTAGCAAGTACATGAGTACAAATCCCAGACTCATGCATGCACGTGGCTCGGTGACTATTTACATAGCCATATGCATGCATACAAATTGTTGTCTATCAAATGCATGAGTACAAATGCCTGACTTGTGAACACACACAGCTAGCTAAGTATTTACACAGTTATACACATGGTACTTGCATCTAGTCATGAATACGTGAACGTGTGGTTACCTAGTTACTCAAAAGTTGCAGATTTTCAGAAATAATTGATTTTTGAATGTCAATTTTGCTGTAGCTTTCCTTTAAAAAACATCTCTAGATTATGTGCAGTTGGAAAACTGTATTTTTAAACTAGGCAGCATTATCTAGTAAACTGAACATGCATGCGAACACTAGGCATTCCTGAGTCATAATCCTGGCTCTGGCATTGGCATTGTGTGACCTTGGGTAAATTATTTAACATCATTACGTCCAATTCTGGAACCCACACTTAGGACCCGTCTTCACGAAGACTTGTGCATGGCAAGCACAGGTGTAAATCTACAGTGCACTAACCTGCCATGCCCTAAATTGTCATGTGGATTCTACTACCATGCACTAAAATTTCCATAATATACTTGGAGAACTGTATCAGCAGCACTTGCTAAATAGGGATAATAATTCCTCATTTCCCTATATTGTGCTGTATTATTTTACTGGGAACCAGTTAGTCATATTTAAAATAATTTGCACATTGACACCAAAAATGTGACCACCTGTATCAAAACTCTATCAGAAAAATGCATTTATCCAACACAAAGAAAAAAATCCTTATGGAGTAAATGCTACCAAATTAATAAATGTCATTGTTGAAAGACATAAATGTCAAAATACATTAGTTTTAGAAAATAAGAATCATAATGTGGTAAGTTGCACATGCAAATAATGATTTTGCATATGTTAATATGACAGAATATTTGACATAATACAAAACAAAGCCAAAAATAAGACAGGTTTTCTGTTAAAACCATACAGTATTTGTATTTCTGAGAATTGTCTTCTAGTTCTCCATTTTTTTTCCAGGCTGTTCAATTTGTACGTATAAGTTTACAAACCATTTCCACCAGGACATTTAACATCTTTAGCTCAGGAGGAACAGACATTAATATGTACACATATTAATGTCTGTTCCTCCTGAGCTAAAGATGTTAAATTTAGTTTTGTAACAAAGAAGACCTTGAATACCAGATACCCTATTCAGCAAAATAGATACACTACTCTGTAACAAATTCTCCAAGGCCCCCTGGGCTTGTAAAAACAACAAGGAGTCTGGTGGCACCTTAAAGACTAACATTCTCTGGGCTTGTGTTTCATGGGATGCGATCTCTCTCTCACGCCCTCGCCCCCCCCCCCCAAATTAGTTTTTTTTATCATATAGTGGAGTTTCCTGGTGCCTTTTGTATTTTATAAAAATTCTAACAGCTAAATAAAATAAGTCATCAAGAAGTGTGTATATTGAATAAATAGGAGCTCATCCCCTACCCCTTCTATCTTCACAGTCAACAGTTGTGTGACGCCCTTCATTGTGACAGATCTAAATGTGCTTTGCAAAATACGTAAGTACATCACTCTAATGCAGTCTCAACAGAGGTGGAAGAAGAGCCACCTCATTACGCAGCAAAGGACATAGGGCTGGCCAAGAACCTAGTGTAAAATTTGTTTTACCAAAAATGCAACAAATCTTTAACCTCAGAAGAAAGCAGTCACAAACTCAAACTACAAGCGCTGAGGTGAAATACTCCATTTATTCCACTGGGTGGAAGTGAAGCTGTGTGGTTTCAGGGAGGGAGGACACATAGTCCAACAGTGCTGGGATCTGAACTTGTAGGTCCCAAGAAATCTGAGTGCTTCAAACCTGATGCTCAGGTCACAAACTATCCAGGAGGACAGACCATCACGGATCTCCTCAGTTAGACTGGGGAGTCGAGGCTGAAAGCCTGTAGTGGAATGACATGCATCCGAGGAAGTGGGCATTCACCCAGGAAAGCTTATGCTCCAATACATCTGTTAGTCTTAAAGGTGCCACAGGACTCTCTGTTGCTTTTTACAGATCCAGACTAACACGGCTACCCCTCTGGTAGTGGAACTGTTACTCCAGGAGCCACCTACTTCACTACTTGGGGCAGGAAGGAAATAACTGGCAGTGCAGGACCCAGGGAAGGGGCATATGTCTAAGGTAGGACCAGACCGCAGCTCTCTCGCTACACTCGTGCGCCCCATAGGCCAATGCTGGGCGCCGCGCTCCCAGCCCGTCCCACGCCCCCTCACTTAAGCCGTCCAGAGCGCGTCTTCGCCCTGTGCGCGCGAAAACTCCGCCTCCCTTTCCCGCCTCCTGTCCCAACCAATCGGCTCATTTTAAAGGTAAAACTGCCCAGCCCCAAAGAGCGGATTGGCTAACGGGTGTGCCAATTAGACCACTTGGCCCGCCTCCCGCCTACGAGGAAAAACACTCGAGGGACGCGGAAAAACACAAGATGGCGGTGCTGGCTGACGGCCAAGTCCCAGGCAGCGCCGCCGCCATTAGACCCCCCCACCCCTCCGGTATGCGCTCTGTCGAGCTTTGAAGGGCCCGGCCACGGCTGTGGGGGAGCGGCCGGTAAGATGGCGGCGGTCCCGGCCCCGTATGCAAAGTACCCACCGCCCCCTCCCCTCCGCCCTCCCGGTGGCAAAGGTAAAAGGGTCGGGTTCAAGCCGCCGCCTCCGCCCGCTCAGACTCCATCTTCCCTGTGTGTGGCCGGGGTTTCTCTACAGCGTGGCCGGACCCCTTCTCCCGCAGCCACCCAGCCCGCCTGGACAGCAAGTCGCTCGCACGAACGCCAGACCGGCTCGGAACCTAGGCGGGCCCGACTCCGCTGAGCGGCTCCGGAGCGGACTCCGACTCGATCGGCCCAGCTGCTCCCAGAGACCCTTTCAGGGAGCCACCCGTGAGCCCACCCAGACCTAGGCACGGCCGGTTCTCGGCTACCACCGACACCCGGAATCCGAACAAGGGTGCCCGCGAAGCCGGGCCCCAGCCGCTTAAAGCGAGCGTGCTCTTTTCTCCAGGGGCGGCCTGGCCGGGCCTCAATCCCGCCGCCCGGCCCCGTTAAGATCAGCCGGCGCGGGGTATTTTGATTTAGAAAAAACAATTTACCTCAGGCTTTGGCGCCAAACGTGCTCCGGCGGTGACCCGGGTCCAACCGGGCCTGTTAAGCAGCGGTGCTGGGCGACGGGCCCGAAAGGGCGGAGGGGAGGGGGGGCCTCGGGTTAGTAGTATTTGTTAGCGGGGGGGGGAGTTTGTTTTGGTTTCGTGCCGTGCCCCTGTGAAAGGTCAGAGTTCGTGACCCCGCCCGCCGCTGCTGCCGCCTGGGAGCGTTTCCCCGCTTCCTCTTCACAGCCCCACGCCGGCCACAGCCCCCTCCTCCAGCCTCCTCGCGGGGCGGGGCCGGGGGACGGCAGCGGCGGGGAGGGGCTACCTGAGCGCCTGGATGGAACGCTCAGACACCAACGTTCCAGCCGGCCCCGGGGGCAGAATAGGCGCTTTCCCGCCCCCCTTCTACCACCTCTCCCCGGCCGTGCTGGAGACGGGGAGGGAGCGGCAAGGAGTGTGTGGTATGCGGTGCTTCCACCGCACACGTGCTGCTGGAGAGGTGGCTCACACTGTGGAAAGCTGTGTGTGTCCCCCTCCCCATTCGTTGTTTGGTTGTGGGGTGGGCAGATGCATTCATTCCCCCCAGTTACTGTTGTGGCAGGGAGAGCATCTGAGGACACGTCCTAGACTTGAAGATCACCCTCCCCCAACCCGTATCACCTTGCTGTGAGGAGAAAGCTGTTATTCCCAGACTGGTACTGTGGGCAGTCATGGTTTACCTCCTGACCCATAAGGTTGGTGTGTACTCTTCTACTTCGAGATAACTGATTGCCTGTTAACTTAAGGTGGGCTATGTGTTTGTAAAGGCCAGTGTGGATGCGTCCCAAAGCTTTCCTGTGGTGCCTACATAGCAATCAGAGGTGTGAGTGCAGCATGAGTAGGTGTACTCAAGATACCTTTAGTCTAGGGGCCTGGTCTACACTAGGAAATTAGGTCAGTATAACTGTCAGTAAGGAGTGTGAAAAATCCACACCTGTGAGTGGCACAGTTAAACTGAGCTAACCGCCAGTGTAGACAGCACTAGATCGATGGGAAAATTCTTCCATTGACCTAGCTACTGTCTCTGGGGGAAGGTGAATTACCTATGCCAACGGGAGAACCCCTCCTGTCTATGTAGGTAGTGTCTTCACTGAAGCACAGCAGCGTTTTATGCGTAGACCAGTCCTAACAGGCATACCAATAGCAGTGAAACTGCAGCAGCACAGTCTTCAGTGCAGACAGTGTAAGCCTACCAGGGATGCTACACTAGTACCAGTGTAAGCCTACCAGGTACTAGTTACTGAAACAGCTAGCCTGCACTGAAGCCTGTGCTGTCATGGCTTCACTGCTATTGGTACTCCTGCTGGCAACATTAACTAGTTAGCATATGTCTAAATGAGTATGAGTTAACTGTGTAGACATACTCCCATGCTGTGTCTTGACCAGTCAAAAGGTGTGCCTTTTACAATGAGAGATCTATATTGGAAAATACACTTTTTTTTTTTTTTTTTTTTTTACTAGTGAAAACAGTTGAAGAGGGAGATGCCCTGTGCTTTTACTCAGCATAGAGTTTGCTCATGAAACCTTCAAAGGCTATGTCTTCACAGCCGAAAAAGGTGTATTTTACAGTGAGATATCTCTTTAAAATCCTAGTGGAGACAAGGCACATGTAGTTTTTTACTTTAATGAAGAGAGGCTAATACTCTTGATTAACATAAGAATGGCCGTACTGGGTCAGACCAAAGGTCCATCTAGCCCAGTATCCTGTCTTCTGAAAGTGGCCAATGCCAGGTGCTCCAGAGGGAATGAACAGAACAGGTAATCATCAAGTGATCTATCCCCCTGTCGCCCATTCCCAACTTCTGGCGAACAGAGGCTAGGGACGCCATCCCTGCCATCCTGGCTAATAGTCATTGATGGACCTATCCTCCATGAATTTATCTATTTCTTTTTTGAACCCTGTTATAGTCTTGGTCTTCACAACATCCTCTGGCAAGGAGTTCCACAGGTTGATTGTGCATTGTGTGAAGAAATACTTTATTTTGTTTGTTTTAAACTTGCTGCCTATTAATTTCATTTGGGGCCTCTAGTTCTTGTGTTATGAGGAGTAAATAACACTTCCTCATTTACTTTATAAACCTCTATCATATTTCCCCTTAGTCGTGTCTTTTCTAAGCTGAAAAGTCCCAGTCTTGTTAATTTCTCCTCGTATGGCAGCTGTTCCATAACCCAAATCATTTTTGTTTCCCTTTTCTGAACCTTTTCCAAGTCCAATATGTCTTTTTTGAGATGGGGCGACCACATCTGCACGCAGTATTTAAGACGTCGGTGTACCATTGATTTATATAGAGGCAATATATTTTCTGTCTTCTTATCTATCCCTTTCTTAATGATTCCCAACATTCTGGTCACTTTTTTGACTGCCTCTGCACATTGAGTGGATGTTTTCAGAGAACTATCCACAATAACTCCCAAGATCTTTCTTGAGTGGTAACAGCTAATTTAGACCCCATCATTTTATATGTATACTTGGGATTGTGTTTTCCAATGTGCATTACTTTACATTTATCAACATTGAATTTCATCTGCCATTTTGTTGCCCAGTCACCCAGTTTTGAGAGATCCTTTTGTAGCTCTTCACAGTCTGCCTGGGACTCAAGTATCTTGAGTAGTTTTGTATCATCTGCAAATTTTGCCACCTCACTGTTTACCCCTTTTTCCAGATCATTTATGAATATGTTGCACAGGACTGGTCCCAGTACAGACCCCTGGGGGATACCACTATTTACTTCTCTCCATTCTGAAAACTGACCATTTATTCCTACCCTTTGTTTCCTATCTTTTAACCAGTTACCAATCCATCAGAGGACCTTCCCTCTTATCCCATGACCGCTTACTTTCCATAAAAGTCTTTGGTGAGTGACCTTGTCAAAGGCTTTCTAAAAATCTAAGTACACTAAATCCACTGGATCCCCTTTGTCCACATGCTTGTTGACCCCCTCAAAGAATTCTAGTAGATTGCTGAGGCATGATTCCCCTTTACAAAAACCATGTTGACTGTTAATCTATGTGTCTGACAATTTTGTTCTTTACTATAGTTTCAACCAGTTTGCCCAGTACTGAAGTCAGGCTCACTGGCCTGTAATTGCCGGGGTCTCTTCTGGAGCCTTTTTTAAAAATTGGCATCATATTAGCTATCCTCCAGTCATTTGGTACAGAAGCTGATTTAAATGATAGGTTACTGATGACCGTTAGTAGTCCTGCAATTTCACATTTGAGTTCCTTTAGAATTCTTGGGTGAATACCATCTGGTCCTGGTGACTTATTACTGTTTAGTTTATCAATTTCTTCCAAAACCTCCTCAAAGCACATTAGAACCATGTGTCTAGGTAAGACTCCTGGATTAACAATTTACTCTATTTCTATTCACCCAGTTCTTTCCTCCCTTTACCAAATCTTGGATGTCATAGCAGAAAAGCATCTTGTGTATAGACCTAGTCTGAATACACATATAAAAGTAAAGTCTTCAAAAACTAGTCAATTTGTATTTATTTAATGCATTTTTATAAATGTTTTGTAACTGCTTCAAGTTGGGTTGTCTCTCTTTTTTGCGGGTGGAGAGGGTTTTTTCATTGTATGAAGTATTTTAGTTATGATGGAAAAGCTTTATTAAAGGCCTGTCACATGAGAGAATTACACACATTTTTAATACATTGGCTTAGAAACTGATTAAGTTAAATTGGTGCAACCCCTGTATTGGACACTCTTATTTTGGTCTGAGGGCTGGTCTACACTGCCGCGCTAGTTCGGCGGCTGGGGATCGAAGTTCCGAGTTCGATTTATCGCGTCTGGTCTGGACGCGATAAATCGAACCAGGAAGTGATCCCCGTCGACTGCGGTACTCCAGCTCAACGAGAGGAGTACCGCGGAGTCGACGGGGAGCCTGCCTGCCGCGTGTGGACCGCGTCTGAACCGCGGTAAGTTCGAAGTAAGGTATGTCGAATTCAGCTACGTTATTCACGTAGCTGAATTTGCGTACCTTACTTCGACTTGGGGGGTAAGTGTAGACCAAGCCTGAGTGTCTTATCGATTTAGCTCAAGTTGATTTCTTTTACTGTATTGTACTGTATTGCTGTCTACTACTGTCTCATTATTTCCTTGTTACTTCCCCCTTGGTCTGTATATATCAATATGTTATCTCTTGGCTTATACTTAAATTGGTGCAGAGACTGTCTTTCTCCCTCCTACCCCTTCTTCTCCCCCTGTTTCTGCACTGCCTAGCATAAGGGAGTCCTGTTCTATGACTAGAGGTCCTGGGGTCTACAGTAATATAGAAATAATAATAGTGTTCTGCTTTACTATATTGTCAGCACCTTGGCCTTGTAGTTAGGAAGGTTGCCTCCCTAGAACATACATATCAAAACCACAAGATTCTTGTTTATTGACTGCCTTTAAGCCTTCTGCCTGTTCTTTTATGCTTAACAGTGCACCAAAGGCATGCACCTCAGACTCATAACTGTAGCTTTTACTTGGGGGGAAAACTCTCGCTTAAGTCTAGGGAAGGTATAATAGGTAGCCTTTACTCTGAGTGTATCTTAAAACCCCCACGCACCTTGTTGTTTTTCATGTAATTGAACCATGGCAAATTCAAATGTTCGGCTACCCTTTTATTAGCTATTGTTATTCTAACAATAGAAGAAAGAAAAATAAGACTCAAATCATTTTGTCTTTAAGTAAAAGTGAGTTAAATTGTTTTGTCTGTGATGTTAAGTTTCATTCCAGTATTTGTCATTCAACTAAGTAAGGACTTTTATTCAGTTGGAGGCAGTTTCCAAGGTGATGAAAATTACAAACTATAAATTATAGATTATATTGATAGAGTTTTTGCTGCAAAGATTGCTTTTCTTCAAAGCATTTAACAAAAATATGTTGTTTGCTCCACCAATTAAATTGGAGATCAATGTTGGATAGGATTTCTAATATTCTGTTGAATTATTAACCGGTTGGGGGTCTGATCAGTTTAGCAGACATTATATTGTGCTATTAGACTTTTTTTTTTCTTCTCCACGAGCAGGGCTATAAACACCCGCCATTTCATGATATTTACTGAATTGAAAATTTTATCCACCATTGTATTCTTTCTTAAATAACTTCTAAGGTGTGTGAAAGTCTTAATAAACTCATAAGTAATAAGTAAGGGATATATGTCACAGTGGGACTTTCCTTTTTTATTTACAA